AAAGGTCAAAGTTCAGTGCAGTCAGAGACAGCAACAGAATAAAGAGTCTGACCTTTATAACGAGAGGGAGAGACTGAAACAAGAACTAGCATAAGAGAAGAGAGCACATGCTGAGATTGAAACTACCTCAAGAAGCACATTGAAGTAAAATTAATGATAATAATAATAATTATTATTATACATGTACATGTATGATATAAAATAATGTACATGTAATAATAAATTATTAATACATACTGTAGGTCGGGATATATTCGCGGCTGCTTATTTTCAAGATAATAAAAACTAATTAAAAGGTTCAATTAAATACCATGGAAACCAATTGATTGTTGCTATGACAATAAGACCATGTGTTTATACAATTACAGTGTTCAGCAGCCTATTTATCCATTTTTTAGCAGCTTTAGTGGGAGCCATCCAGTTCTCCATCCGCTATCTTCTTGTATGGACCACTACCTTCGAGGCTCTTTGCTGGAAATCCTTGCCGCTCCACTTGCTGCATGCTGCACTGGTGATAATTAACCATGCCCAAGTCAATAAATGGGTGGAGAGTCCCAAGAATGGGCCAAGATACGGCGAGGCAGAGTGAAGAGAGTAGCTCTGGTCGAAACAGCTCCAAAGAGACCAAGGATTAGTAACAGCAAGAAGAACAACAACCCAAGAACACTGCAACAGAGTCCTTTGCTCTTAATATCGCGGATTTTTCAATTAAAATTGCATCTGGTAACCATGGTAATTGCTGAGTGCGGGAAAAAATCACGAAAATAAGCAGCAGCGAATATATCCCGACCTATGGTATACAGTATACATACATGTACATGTATGTGTGTCTGAGATAAAAAAATAGATAAATGTACATAATGACTTTGCTTGTAATTTTGGAGGGATTTTGCCAAAGAATTTTGAGGGACACTGCCAAATAATAATTATAATAAAATTTATAATAATATTTTTATTATAATATAATGTTTTTACCTACTCGTACACATATACATGTACACACGTAATTGTCGTAATTATTAGTAACGCGGTAGCGTTACTAAGTAGGATTCACCCCCAAACAAAATGGCTGCCACGACTTTTGCAGCCTTGCTATACCTGGAAAACGAGCTCCTATGCTTACCAGACTTTATAGAGGACCTTATCTTGACCAGAGGACTCCAATGGTACAACTAGCGTGGCTCTAGACCTTGTCTAAGCGAAAAGTCAAAAATCGGCGAACCGGCCGTTTTGTTCAGCCACCTTTTTTCATCTTCATCATCATCTTCTTCATCATCAAGTCCTGTCAATCCAGTTGTCGGTGTGTATCTCAGTATCAGTTGGTGCTACAAGAATAATTCTTACACCAATCTACTCCAACAGTCTATGCGCAGGTCCATGTCCCATCAGATCATTCTTCAAGTAAGGAAAAAGTGATACTGTGACTGCTGGATCGAGCCATCTTAGCTACATGCCGCCATTTTGTTAATTAAAGAAGCTTGCCATGTGCTCCAAAATTTGGGTGTGGTTGCGCATGCTCAGATGCAGATCTGCAGCTCTGGAAGAAGCAATTTATTTTTTACCAAGCTATGCTTGGAATCAACTTACTGCAATACTTTAGTGGAGGTTTCCAGCTAAAAGAAGGTATTGATTTTACATGTTACTGTTTTATCAAGTGTTTTATTTTATTTTATTTTAAAAAACAAACAATTAATTAATGTTATGACTTTTGATATGCAATAATAATTATGAACTTGACAACAGCCTGGAAGAACAGGCATAGCAGGGAAGATGGACACTCTTAGCTCACAGATTCTTGAACAAGGACTTGTGTTAAGACTAGTATTAGTTTCACTTGTCATCAGTATAGTTGATATTCCTTCAGCATGTCTATTCAATGCTGTCTCTCATAAATGTTATAACAATGATAATAATAATAAAGAAAATTATTGTTTGTGTAAAATCAACAAGTATCACAATTGCAACTAAAGAAATACTATAAATATTATTTTAAAAATCAAAACAAACAAGAACATAAAAAATTAAAAAAAAAAAACAAGATGAAGTAGGATTCCGAACAACCAAC